TCCAACTGTAGGGTTTCTAAAACATCATTCCACATCACAAAAGACCCACTCACACTGGGCTACACGTTAGTTTGTAACAGTTTTGTGGTTTCCCAATATAATTGTGTTACATGGCTAGAATGTGCCAATATAATTGTGTTATGTAGCTAGAATCCCAATATAATATTGGTATATAGCTAGGATGTCCCAATATAATTGTGTTATATAGCTAGAATGTCCCAACATAATTGTGATATATAGCTAGAATGCCCCAATATAATTGTGTTATATAGTTAGAATGTCCCAATATAATTGTGTTATATAGCTAGAATGTCCCAATATAATTGTGTTATATGGCTAGAATGTCCCAATATAATTGTGTTATATAGCTAGGATGTCCCAATATAATTGTGTTATATAGCTAGAATATCCCAATATAATTGTGTTATATAGCTAGAATGTCCCAATATAATTGTGTTATATAGCTAGAATTTCCCAATATAATTGTGTTATATGGCTAGAATGTCCCAATATAATTGTGTTATATAGCTAGGATGTCCCAATATAATTGTGTTATATGGCTAGAATATCCCAATATAATTGTGTTATATGGCTAGAATGCCCCAATGTAATTGTGTTATATGGCTATAATATCCTAATATAATTGTTCTGAATATCTAGAAAGTCCCAATATAATTGTTTTATATAGCTTGAATGTCCCAATATAATTTTGATAAGTGGCTAAAAATGTTCCTGGGTAATGGTGACATATGGCTAAAAAGTCCTAATATAATTGTGCACTGTTTTGGGTGGACTGCGGGTTGAGAACATCGGTTTGGTGTTGACAACACAGAAACGCCCCACTTAAGTCAGTCACAACAAGAATTGATTGTCCCTGGAGCAATATGGAGGTAAACAATTATCTGTAGAAGATACGTTCTATCCCAGGGTCAGTTTTATTATCTCCAGATAAAGAGAGCTGTGTGTATTCAGAGATTACATCGATGACATTGCATGTTTCTGAATGAGCTCACGTCTACCCTGCGTGGGGGGCTTTTGTTGCTGCGGTCAGCATTTAGCATCTGTCGGTCTGTGCAGTCAAACTTAGAGCATTCATAACTGACAACAATCAAGGATCCTTCTCTCTCAATAAGTAACAGAAAGTGTATTGATCGGCACTCATAGAAAGACGATTGGGACACATAATGCTCCATATGTTTGTAAACCAGTCAGCATACGATAGTTGATGTCGACTTTTAATTTAGTAACTATTTTTTTTACCTTTAAAGACCAAAAAAAAAAAAAAAAAATAATCACCTGCGACTTTGCACTGGTCTACTACCATTCCACAAGGTCATCATCTGCAGCTGGGTAGAAGATGTCAAGGTCAGTCTCTACTACGATATGCAAGATGTGTGCAAGTGGGACATGAATGGTACATGCGAGTGGGATACCATACAACGTGTAGTGTGCAGAGGAAAATCAGGAGGGGAGTAGAGATACAAAGTCAAATAATTATAGACAGGTTCAGATCTGAGCGTCTGAGAGAAAACACTATAACTACATGTGATAGAAATATTGCTCCTGAAATCCCGCGCTCTAATTGTTCCCTTCCTGATATGCCCTTTCCACACAACAAGGTCTATGGTATTTTGTTCCCATGATTCCACCTCAATACCTAGGTCATTCATGTCCCGCTTACACACATTTTGATATCGTAGTAGAGGTCGACATCTTTTTCCTGTCTTTAATTCACAATAAAGGATGTCCTTAGGGACTCTGCCATCCTCCATTCTCCAGGTGTGACCCAGCCACCTGAGCCTTTGTAGACTGAGCATGGAAAAGACTGTTGTAGTACCTGCTCTTTCCAGTACCTCGGTGTTTGTGATTTTGTCCTTCCACTTAATGCCCAGTATTCTTCTTAGGTATCGCACGTGAAAGCTATTTAGCCGTCTCCTCTGGTGCAAATAGGTTGACTAAGTTTCACTGCCATAAAGCAGAGTGATGAGAACAGAAGCCTCATAGGCAAGGGTTTTGGTTTTAATTGTGAGCTTTCTGTTCTCCAAAACTCTCTTTGTCAGTCTGCTCATTGTTGTTGCTGCCTTACCTATCCCGTTGTTGATTTCTTTGTCCAGAGATAGTTTACTCATCGCTGTGGAACCCAGATAGGTAAAATGGTCTACTGTGTCAAGCTCTTCACCGTCAATGTAGACTGTAGGTCTACCATTGACACCTTGCAGCATAACCTTTGTCTTCTTTTTGCTGACTATTAGTCCAAATTCACAGCACACATCAGCAAAGGCAGATAATAAACATTGCAGCTCTTCCTCTGAGTGGGTGGTTATTGCGGCATCATCTGAGTGGGTGGTTATTGCGGCATCATCTGAGTGGGTGGTTATTGCGGCATCATCTGAGTGGGTGGTTATTGCGGCATCATCTGAGTGGGTGGTTATTGCGGCATCATCTGAGTGGGTGGTTATTGCGGCATCATCTGAGTGGGTGGTTATTGCGGCATCATCTGCAAAAAGCAGCTCCTCTGATAAGTACCTTTCTTATCCTGGTAAAGTTCCTTCTCTCCATAGCACAAAGCCAGGACAGTATTGTAGAGACCATATGTTACCCATGCATCATGATTCCTCCCTCGACCTGCCTTGTGTACTGTAAAGAAAAAGTAACACTTTTACGTTTGGAACAAGGCAGGTTGCAGAAGCTGCCGGACCAGAAGAGCAGTGCTCTATCTGTCCACATGTCGGAGCTTTCCTCCTAGACCAGCTGCCAGCCAAGGCGAAGGGCCTGGTCTGCCCTGACATAATATACCGTTTTCAGGGTGCATTTCCTCTTCCTAGGATAAGGCTAGAAACCCCCCCCCCCCCCCCAACTGACTGCGCTCCTCCGCCCGTAGCCGTTGGCACAATATGGGATGTTTGGTTAGTATACACCGCCCAACATTCGGTGAAACAGAAGACAGGTGGTACCGTCTACTGTTATACGGTAGCTCAGTTATATCTGACCAAGATATGTCCACACACACACACACACACACACACAGAGAGAGAGAGAGAGAGAGAGAGAGAGAGAGAGAGAGAGAGAGAGAGAGAGAGAGAGAGAGAAATAAGGGGATGGAGAGTCACCATTTTCTGACCAACAGACTTGACAACTACAATGCGATAATTGCCAGAAAACAGCGACCAGCAACACACAAACTTGAGCAACGATAACACGATAACCAAATTTGAGGAACGACAACACGATAACCCCCAGAAAGCTGTTGGCTGACTCAAGCTCAGAAATGCTACGTCACTGTCGCTTTGTGTAACTGTTTTCCACAAAACCAAACGAGGCTGCGGAACGAAGATATAAAATCTCTTTACCCCTGAACTGTCTCTATTGCTTACAGTGGATTCGTGCAGGTAGTTCGGTTCTATTATCTAGTTAATAACCATTTCTTGTCTGTAACAAACCATTTAGTTAAAATAACCCTTTCTTGCCTGTAACAAAACATGTGTAATATGATATCATAAGCAAGTCAGACTAATTGGTATATGGTGCTCGCACTATTTTAATAGACCAACTAGCACTTGATGATGATTGGTCGGTATCTAGGTTGAGCCATTACTTTCTAGAACATTTCCCGGTGTCAGTGTGAGACTGGTTTGTCCCGGAACCCACAGACAAGGACGTTTATCTACATAACATCAACAAGATATCGACACTGGGCGGCACTCGTGTCAGTGAAGCAAACAGGTCGGAACATCAGTGGTCAGCAATACTTGTGGGTTTTTTTTCTCACGTAACTTCTCACTTTGCTAGACACATCGCATTTCTGTATTGTGGCCTTATCTGGAGACGTATTTTTCATTTTACTGCATTAGAAGCAGTTATTTCACATGACCAACCCCACCCCATTTTTTCTCCCTAGCGTTCACAAGATGTAATCTTCGGTAGACAGTTCTGGTTGTTCCAGATCTGGTGTTTTGTGCATTCATGTGTTTCACAGATCTGGCTCATTCGTATGCAGACTGTTGGTTCCATTTCTCTCACGCAGAATCAGGCCAACTTCGGTAGAGACAACCGTAATTAGTGGCGGGGTTGAAATACTTGGCTTCCCTGCCGACAGGTGAGTGCAGCCACTACGGTAGTAATTCCACATGGGTACACACTATTATAGTCCCCTGTGTGGGTTCTGGGGCCCCATTGTGGGGAAAACAAGAATAGACCCACTGCCTCCCAAAAGCATGTCGTAAGAGTCGACTAATTGGGGAGCTTCCTTTGAAGTCGGAGTGCATCTGCCGGAGAGGCAAGGAACCAACAGTCTGTATTCAAGAGAATGAGATCTGTAAAACTGATGCACACGCAACACTCAGGTTCTGGAGCAGGACTGCAGTTCAGTAGTGGACGAGCAACCAGAACCTTCCGCCAGAGTTTACAGCTGGTGAATGCGAAGAAGAAGACTACTATAGTGCCTTATATAACTGCGTTAACATTGAGCTTCCCAGCTTTATCTGTTGCTTTTATTATTCCGATGTTGTTTGCGCTGAGACTATCCCTACCACATTCTCCCATTGTATTGTTGTCGTTGTCTTCTTCTTCTTCGCGTTTACCACTTGTAAACTCCAGGGAAGAGTTCTGGTTGTTTGTCCACTTCTGGACTGTTGTTCTGTTCCAGAACCTGAATATTGCATGCACATCCGTTTCGCAAACATGACTTAATTGTATGCAGACTGCTGGTTCCCTGCCTCTCAGGCAGATACACTCTGACTTCGAAAGAAGCTCCCAGTTGGTCGACTCTTACGACGTTCTTTTGGGTAGGCAGTGGGTCGGCAGTGGGTCTACTTGTGTTGTCCCTATAATAGGACCCCGGGACCCACACGGGAAGGTTCTACTGCCAAAACGACCCATGTGTTGCATTAACTTCTCAGTGTTGAGCGTATGCCTTCTAGCATTGGTGCAGAAAGACTTCACGTTTGATTGTTTCAGTGACGTCGCCCAGAATATTGAAGTTTCCACCAAAACACGTGACAATGGCCAACCTGACACCCATTCGTGACCTTGAGGTCAAATATACCCAGGTAAAAACTCTTCAGTCTCTTGAATGTCAGCGTCCCCCCACCCCCGTTTCTTTCTCTCTCTCTCTCTCTCTCTCTCTCTCTCTCTCTCTCTCTCTCTCTCTCTCTCTCTCTCTCTCTCTCTCTCTCTCTCTCTCTTTATTTCTCCTTCTATGTCTCTCACTCTCTCTCTCTTTCTTTCTCCATATCCTCTCCTATCTCTCTAACTCTACCATTTCCCTCCACTATTTCAGAATCTATTTTCACTCATCCGCCATTTCTAGCTGTACAATACAGGGTCTGCACAACTTACAACCTAGTTCTGTTGCGACTTTTTTTTTCTTTCTTTTGTCTTCTCGCTGATACCAAGTTGTAGCTCAGTGTCGTGGTTAACAGGTCGTAGGTCGAAGCCAAATCTATATGTTTTAACGTTACACGTTAAATAGTTTGCCAATGCCAGCTGAACGTCCGAAACTCGATAGCACTGCCGAAACCATTGCAAGTCCACCTGCTGCCTAATCGCCTGCGGCTGGAACCGAACCGGGCACCCCGGAATTACGAATCGCGTTTGCAACACCTAAGTCACAGACGCCAGCTAGGCTGATGGATAATGACAAAATTCAGCGCAAACACAGTGCTGTGACCTCAAAGTGAAGCCTAGTGACGCACGTCAGTGCCGGCTGAAAGGTCAAAATAGAAAAGATTGTAACCAGCTTCTCGGGGTGGGCAGGTGGAGCAGCCTGGGTTGGCTGCTACACTGGAGGACTGAGCAGGTAGGGAATGCCCAGTGTGCAGTGACGTCGACTGTAATAACAATAACATTACAACATCATTCACGAGACTACAATACAGGAGCTAAGAACAACAAGAGGCGAGGGCTCTAATGCAACTGATCAGAAACATCAGCAAAAGACAGTCGTCATTTTTGATCATGTTATGAGAAGAGGGAAATTGGAACATGTTGTGACCAGTGGAAAAATCTGTGGAAAAAGAGACAGAGGAAGACAACGTGGGACGATTCTTGAGAGCCTTTGTCACAGCATGGAGGGGTGACAACAAACAAACCGATACATGCAGTTGCGGATCGCAGATTTCAGAGAGGCATGATCGTCTAGGCCAGTCGACAAGGCACTTGATGATGATGACAATGATAACTTAGGAATGGATAAGAAGATGTATAAGAGCTTAAACAATCAATGAAGATGTCTCAGGCGATACTTAAAGACATGCCAATGACACTACCAGAAACTGAATAACAACAATCAATGTATTAGCTGACCACGTCTGGGCTACATCGCCCCACTGGGGGTGGGAGAAAGTGGGGGGGGGGGGGAGGGGGATAGAAGGGGGTGAGGGAGAGGGAGAGAATAGCCCCAAGGCTGCTAACATGCAGACAGTAAAAGGTAACTAATTAGGGGTGTTTTCTTTGCAGTATAAGTACGCCTGCCTGAGAGGCGAGGAACCAACAGTCTGCATACAAATAAGCCATCTCTGTAAAAAGGATGTGCACGCAAAACTCATGTTCTGGACAAGATCAAAGTCCAGAAGTGGACGAACAATTTGCTAGGGCTTACAGATGGTGTACACTAAGAAGAATAAGAATATTTTGATCTATATAAATGAACCATAATTACGAATGACTAAAGTTTACAAAAGTGTGCAATGCAAAAACGCATCCATAGATCACAGCCTGGTGTCCGCCATCAGTTGCGTGTTGTAGTTGAGGCGCCGTTGCTGTAAAAGTGAAAGACCTCTGATTGTTGAGTGGAGCCGATATTCCCCGGCCAACTGCTGGTTATTCCAGCCCAGTGGATATCCAGTCTGACATTTGTCCGGGAATTTCTTCTCCCGAGACTGGGCTCTTGTCATTTGTGTTTTGTCTGTTACTGCAGTTGAATTGCGAAAAGACACGCGTTCAGTCATGTGTGGTTGTGATAGTGGGTCGAGGTGGGGAGGGGTGTCTGGCTAACTCATCGCGTCGTGTGTAATTATTATTTTAACGCAGTGACTGTGTAGATCAAACAAGTGACTATATGACAGTCCGACAGACCTGAAAATAAAAGAGGAGTGACCTGGAGACATAAATGATTAATGACTAATGAGGAGAGGATTTCGGGGGAGCTGGCGATATAATTAGGGTTTACGGTAAGGTATACGGGTTCGGCGAGAGCCACTAGAAGTTTGCCTGCCAGCCCGAAGGCCGTGGGTTTGAATCTTCACCCAGTCACATAAAAAAATTACCTTGGCCTCTGATAAGAAACAAAAATGAACTTGACATTGATATATTTACTGTAACATCTAACATTTTAGTCTACTTATGTACAATGGCTCGAAAAAAATCAAAGGAACTGGCTGATGAACAAAATAGTGAGCATCTATAGACTAAATAATAGCAACATTTTTGTGTAGTGGATACTGAAAGGCTGCAAGCAAACGATCTTTGCGATCTAAGAACAGTTATTTAGAAAATGAATTGCAAACATATTCACGAATTTCTGAACGGACTATAGGATACACACCAGTTCAAATGATATGGGATGTATCAAGAGCTAATGAATGTTTTGCTTGGTCAGATATTAGTAGTACATGGTAAACTAAAATAACACCAGAAGATAAAACGGACACATTAACCAAGGTTATTTGTGTTTTACCGAAGCCGCTTCAACGATAAGATAAGCTAGGCTCTTGTGTCATTAGTGGCCTTATTAAATAAGTGCGAGATAGTTGGCTCTCTCGTTATCTGTTGCCTTTATGAGTCACGACGCCTAGCATTGGCAGAACCTTGTGCCCGATATAGTCTGGTCGGGTGCTTGCCTAATTCAACCAGGTGGTTGTAAGGTGGCCGAGAGATAGCCCGTTCAGTTTTAGCAGCTGAGTGTCGGGGGTCAATTCTAAACTGACCGCCTCTCCGCGATGAGTTCAACAGTGTGATTGTGTGGGCGTACGACCAATTATGCCCTGACTGCAGTACAATGAATGGGCTCAGTGGCAGCAAAGTATAGGACCAGAGACAGAAAGAACTGAACAAAAGCACTTTATTTTTAAAGTGTCATAAATTTGGCACGCAGACCCTTTCTACATTTAGCCTTTTAACCTCCTATTTCCCATATATCAATTGTATTTAAAGTATAATACAACCAACTCCAATTTTGTTGTTATTGCTGTTTGTGATTTTACTAGGCAATTTTAAGTTTAGCAGTTTGCCATTGCTTTCTGCATGTCATCTCTCGATACCAATGTGGAAACCCGCGCTAGGAGGTCTACTACCAAAGCGTCCACAGATGTGATAGAGTCCGGCATCGTGAAATTACGAAACGTGTTCGCAACGCCTAAGTCACAGACGCCAACTCACATACCACCTAAATTGACGTTTCATCAAGAGTCAACTGTTTAACACGTCCCTAAGTTGTCTATTTTCGTCTTTTCGCTGTACGCTCTTTGATCCAATTGCCCTGACTGTTCACAAAGACCGCGTAATTCACATTGCTTCTGATTTAACGTGTAGGGCTTGAGGGCAGACACATCTAGATCCTTCAAAGATGGTTTGTCAGAGTCCGTAGACTTCCATCTCTGGTTTTAACGATGTTGAAAAGTGTGTGACTTCAAGTGACTTTCAATATGTCGAATGTAACGTGTGCCTTGATTTGCGCTTACTCAATAACCACATTAATCTCTGCAGCTGTTCATCAACAACGAGTTTGTGAATTCTGCCAGCGGGAAAACTTTCCCCACCATCAACCCGGCCACTGGGGAGAAGATCGCTGACATTCAGGAAGCTGACAAGGTCAGTATTGCCAGGTATTTTCTCAAGTTACTGAGCATATATTTCAAGAAGGCACAATACGGATAGGGGATAACCAAGAAAAACATTATATAAAACTAACACGAACAGATCTGTCAGTGCAGACCCACACTGATTTCAAGATTTTGGCAGATAATAATACCATGTTTTTATTGTAAACAGTTATGTACTTACATACTTTATGTTTTCTTATCATTTTTTCATTTTTTTTCTTTCTTATTTTCTCCTACATGTTTTTTTTTTTTTTTTCAGAAGCTGTTCAGTATGGAATAATAGAGATATACCATCAATAGTAGATCCGTCTATGGTTGTTTTTTACAGTTTGTTTTTCTTTCAATTCCTCATTCATTCCATAAATAAAAGACATTAAGATGATAATGTGTTAGTCTCCATCCCATTCTCACAGCTGTATACAGTTAACCACATCACATTCTCACAGCTGTATACAGTTAACCACATGTTATTCTCACAGCTGTATACAGTTAACCACATCCCATTCTCACAGCTGTATACAGTTAACCACATCCCATTCTCACAGCTGTATACAGTTAACCACATCCCATTCTCACAGCTGTATACAGTTAACCACATGTCATTCTCACAGCTGTATACAGTTAACCACATGTCATTCTCACAGCTGTATACAGTTAACCACATCCCATTCTCACAGCTGTATACAGTTAACCACATCCCATTCTCACAGCTGTATACAGTTAACCACATCCCATTCTCACAGCTGTATACAGTTAACCACATGTCATTCTCACAGCTGTATACAGTTAACCACATGTAATTCTCACAGCTGTATACAGTTAACCACATGTCATTCTCACAGCTGTATACAGTTAACCACATGTCATTCTCACAGCTGTATACAGTTAACCACATGTCATTCTCACAGCTGTATACAGTTAACCACATATCATTCTCACAGTTATATAGACCTACCATTAACGTGTCCTTCTTGGCCTTGACGCAATTTCTTGCCCAATGTTTGCCCCCACAGAATGTGCATGCTGGCACTTTGGTCCGACATTTTCTCCTGCTGTGGAAGAAGCGCCAGCATTTCCTACAGTGCAACAGGGATTAAACATACAACTGACAGTATTTAATCTTACCTTGGTACATTACCTTTGTGGGCACTCTCTTGCCTCCACATATGACAGTCAGTGCTGTGGTTAGGTAGCCCTCGCTGATTGCTCAGCCTGGACACCTACCTAAACTCAACACCTGGGTTCTCTTTCTTCAATTAGTCTTTGTTCCTCTCCTTGTCATCATTCACAACACCCATTTCACCACCAAGGTCACCTCTGACTGGCTGATGTGCTCGAAGATCCTGATATCATGGGGTAGGTCCATAGCCGTCCCTTCCCTGACTTCCTTAATCTTCCTATCTCTTCTGTCTTCCTGGTCCTGTTAAAAGTGTCCAGGATTGTCCCTGGGACATCCTTGGAGCATTTAGCCACTGTCCTCTTGTTTGGTACATCCTCTAAGAGTCTTATTGCCAAGTGGGGGGTGTCAGCCTCACCCGCTCCTCTCTCTAATCTGGGTAATAACAACGTTTAAGTCCTCGTCCTCCTCGACGATCGTACATGCCTCCTCTGTAATCGTCTCTAGCTGTAAGCTTTTAGGGGTCCACCTGGTCTTCCTCTTCACATGCATCTCCTTTCTCCCCACATTGGAGTACATCCTTCCAGCAGCTTCTTGGCTCCTGGTAAGAGCCACGCGTATTATACAAAGTAAGTGGTTATTCATGAAAAAGTAGGAGTTGACTTACCCAAGTCCTCTCCCAGTGAAATGAAAATACACTAAAGTACAAATCACCTTAACTAGTAATGCACAAAGTATTAAATTACCAAAAACTAGAAGACTAGTGATTGTAAAGAAAATCAACTTTCAGTAGTAGAAAATAGTGAAAAGATATCAAAGGGACAACTGAGGGTACGAGCTTTAAAACTGAACATAATACACGCTGTAAGCTCTGCCCACTTAGGACAATTTCGCCCCCTAGTCGATTACGATGGCAAAAATTGCTGTGGGAACAGACCGGGGTGAAACTGGAAAAGGATCTGGTAATCAGCGTATTTTAATACCTCTTTGTTCCCTAGCGTATTTAAGGTGCAAACACTGAACCCGGAAAAACGGGGAAAATTGGGTAGTACGATCTTGCTTGCTTGCTTGCTTGAAAAAGAAAAAGAATAATTTGATCATGTTCAGGCATTTTTAGCTGTATAGCTGACACCTGTATTTGTGATCTTTATTAAGTTTGAATTGTTTGAATATGGTTTCCTTCGGTTCCATTTGGTTATGTTGTTCTAAACGGTTTGACTGATGTTGTTTCTCACTTGTATAAAGTTGTTCTATACCTGATGTTGTTGTATCCGGAGGCAAGGGTCTTCTATTTCTTAATTGTGTCTCTTTTTTCGTTCTTGACTATTGGATTGGATTGGCTTTTTACCCCACCAGGACATCACACAAGCGATAAACACCCGATGACACAAAGTGCCACCATGCGGATGAGGATCACCGTGGAGAGGTCCCAGAAACCGCGTTCAGACATCTGGCCATTTTCATGGCCTGCCTATATTGCGGCCCCTGGCAAAAGCCAGAGTGGGGCTTCAAATAACAAAAAATTACGTCCTGAAAAGGACGTAAGGATTATCGCAGCATTGTAAACTTGACTATGGTAGGACACATCTGTATATTGCATTTTAGTTCTGTCCTATCCGCTCGTCGTCTTGTGATTCCCATTTTCTGATTGGTGGAGTCTGGTTTCTATTCCTCGTCACGTGTTTCCGCTCTGTCTTGGCTTCTAGGATGTAATAGTGCTTAGTCCTTACAAGGACTTTTATGTCATTTTGTCTTTCCATCTTCGCTGCTGTTTTTCTCCTTCTCATCTTTGTCTGGTGTCCTCTGTGTTGTTTTACGTTTTGGATCTGGCTGGTAGGTGTCTGTGGATGTTGTCTTCTCTGTCGTCTCTCTCATCTCTTCCGTATTGAACTTGTTTCCTTCGGTCTTCTTTGGTTTTGATGCTTCCTGGTGGAAACCTTCTGTTCATTTCAGTATTGTGTCTATCTTCAAGTTCTTGCTGCTTGCCAGTAGACTCTTTCATCGATGTTTCTTTCGGTTTATCGTCTATTGGCTTTTCGCTGTTATCTTGATCTATTTGGGGTTGCTTGGAGCTGTTGTCTTCACAGCTTTCATCCTGCTTTTTCTGCAATTCCTGTAGTGCTGCTATTGTTTCTGCTTTTATGTCATTCAGTGTCTTTATATTGTAGTCCAATATCTCTCTCATCTCTTTCATCTCTGCAGGTATCTGTCTTGCTTGGTCATCAATTTCTGGCATGTTTTTCTTTGGAGTCAGCTTATTTGCCTTTAATATCTTGACCTCTTCTTCTAACTTTCTGATCTGATTCTGCATCCTGGATTTCTCCACTGGGATGAAGTATTCAGATTCTTTGCATTTTCTTCTGGCTTTTTTGCATGGTATTCTCTCAGTAATTGCTATCTTGAGTATTTCCTGGCAATGTTGTAGATAAGGATATCGCCCCGTGCTGTCCAAAAAACAGTTGCTGCATCGTCGATTGCTATTTGGTTTTTGATAATTTTTATCTTGCTTTGCTAGTGGTCACTCATTATGGGAGTGAGAGTCAGCACAATATCTGCAAATCTCTGTTTTGCTGCGGCACACTGACTTGGTATGAAATCCCTTTTGACATCTTGAACATTGGAGTACCCTTGGGATATATATCTCTGGTTTCTGTAGTTCATTATCAATCTTGACTGTTTCTGGAATACTCTCACCTTCTGTCGTCACCACTGCTACTGTTGATTTCATGTCTTTGGAAATGATTCTCTCTGCTCTGATTATACTCATCTTCGGGGTTTTCTCTCCTCAAGTGCTCTGCGATCTCCTGGTTTGACCATTTAGTACTCACTCTCTTGAACACCCACTTTCGGATCTCCTGAAACATCTTGGCTGCTGCCAGTATCTTTTCCGTTAGCTGTAATTCTATTGTAGGCTGTGTACCAATGTCCTCAGTCATTCTCTTCGTATGTTTGGTTTCATTCAGCGTAATGATCAGACACTCTTGCGTCTTTCTGAGTCTGCATATGCTTCCTACCCCCAGTGAAGTCTCCAGGTATCTGGTTATTTTGGCTCTCGATAAGTCCAGGAGTCTGGTTCCACCTTCGTTTATTTGGTAAATCTTTACTCGTGTCTTGATAACCGGATCGTTGGACATTCTTGCGTTGCTTGGAGTCTCCTCCTCAGCCGGATTATAAGCTTGTTCGATCGTACAATCATCTGATTCCTCCGTTGTAATAGTGTTCTTTGATGTAGTTGGTTCTACTGCCAGCATGGCTCTTGGTGTGTCATTCTTGGCTGTATTGGGCGCGTTAGTTGACTGCAGGTTATACTGGCCACTATCGTCCCTTTCTATGATGATAGCTTCAGGAAAGTCGTCATCATCCTCCACAGCAAAAACATTCTTCTTGATCTGTTCCTCCTCTTTACTACTTCTTTGGTCACTATCTTCCCTCTCTATGATGATAGCTTCTGCAACGTCAAGGTTATTCTTCACAGTATCCACGTTCTTCTTGGTCTGTTCTTTCTCTTTACTTCTTTTTGCAGCGTAAAAATCATGGCGTCTAGCTGCCTTCTTATATCTTGGCATTGTTAGTAGTAGGCGATTCTAGGATTAATGTGTAATACAACACTGCTGATAACTCTCGGTCAGGAACACACGTTGCCGTCACCACCAAGCTCCCTGCCTTTCCAGAAAACGTCTGTGCCACGTCGTCTGATTGGTTAGAGGTAAACGCCGCCAAACCGTCTGATTGGTAGAATATCGTATACCCAAAAATGTTGATGCTGAGTACGATCTGATTGGCCGCTGAACATCATGATAGACCACAGTCGCCTAGCAACCCGCTGGCACGAAATTCAAATGAGACAGAGCCTTTTTGGAGTTTTGGTGCTAAAAATGTGGAGCTTTCAGAAGGGGATTCTCATAGTTTATACACAGACAAAATTAATTGTTTAATTAATAATTACAAAACTAGATATAAATTCGTGAAAGAAATTAAATGAACTAACGTAATATTTAAGAATCAAATTCAAATCTCAACATTTATTCAAATTAACTATTCTAATTTGCGTAATTTCTGCAAGCAATTTTTATAAATCTTGGAAACAAACATAACTAACCTGAAAAATTTGGGCGAATTGTTTTATGGATAAAGCTTGAATAAGTCCTAACACTTGTATTTTGGGAAGTAAGGCCATTGGAGGCCCTTCAGACACGTCTGGCACATGGTTCTACTAATTTTTCTGCTTCCAGCCATGTTTCCTCAGTTGCTTTGATGGAACAGTCCTTTTCGCCATTTTTTGGGCACAGGTAACCCCAGAAAAAAAAATCGATGTAAAATTACGGAACAAATGAAACTTTCTCGAAAGTGGTCAATGAACAGCCCACATGTGCAAGAAATGCGAGAAGCAGTCTGATTGGCTGGTGCAAAAACCTGCCAGCAAATATCAAGGCTTTTATTACATAGGGCCGACCATCGGCTCAGCCGTCCTTCTGGCTACTTTGCGTTGCGCCGACATTTCGGCAGCGTCCCCTCCAGAGGGTTAATAAAAATAAGCACAATTTAATGACTACAGCCCTAGAATGAAAACAAGTTGATTAGTCCTCTGAAATCAAAGGAAATTGCTTCAAATTGAGCATGGCATGAGCACTGTGTAAAAGCTTTCAATCTCAAGCAAATGCAAGATAGATGGAAACGGATCTTTACAAAGTCTGCTTTTATCAACCTCACATTAAGTGACTCTTTAATTCCCCAGGCTGATGTGAATAGTGCTGTGGAAGCAGCCAAGGCAGCCTTTGCCTTAGGTTCTCCGTACAGGAAGTTGAATGCCAGCACGAGGGGACAACTCTTGAACAAAGTGGCTGACTTAATTGAGAGAGACATCAGTTACATCGCTGTAAGTATGACATGTGATTCAAGGATATGCTAATATGACATTAAATATGGAAGTATGACTCAGTTACATAGATGTAAGTATGACATTATCTGCACACATGCATACACGTCACACATCATGTAGCAGGTCCTTTGCAGAACATCGCTCTCATCATGGTCTGCCTAAAAGAAACTTGGTCTCTCGTCAGCTCTCATGTCTCATGTACTGTCATATTCAAAGAGTCACTTATATCCTAAGCCCATCTTCATTTTGTTCTGCCTCTGTCCCTCCTTTCTGGTAAAATGCCTTCTGTTATTACTTTTTCCAATCCACAGTGTTGCTTGATATGATTCAAGTATTTCAGCTTCCGAGACAAGATGCTGTTAATTTGCCAATCTTCCTTGATGTTCAGATCTTTTAAAATGTCAGTATTTCTTCTCTTCTTTGTCCATGGTATTCTGAGAATCTTTCCATTCAGTTCAAAATAAAAGCCCCTATTTTCTTTGTTATGGACTGGGAGATAGTCCACATGTTGCTACAGGGAAGATAGTCCACATGTTGCTACAGGGAAGATAGTCCACATGTTGCTACAGGGGAGATAGTCCACATGTTGCTACAGGGGAGATAGTCCACATGTTGCTACAGGGGAGATAGTCCACATGTTGCTACAGGGGAGATAGTCCACGACTCACATCCGTAAGTTGCTGCAGGGAAAATAGTCCACGGCTCACATCCGTAAGTGGTTACAGGGGAGATAGTCCACGACTCACATCCATATGTTGCTACAGGGGAGATAGTCCATGGCTCACATCCGTAAGTTGCTACAGGGGAGATAGTCCATGACTCACATCCATATGTTGCTACAAGGGAGATAGTCCACGGCTCACATCCGTAAGTTGCTACAGGGGAGATAGTCCACAACTCACATCCGTAAGCTGCTACAAGGGAGATAGTCCATGACTCACATCCATATGTTGCTACAAGGGAGATAGTCCACGGCTCACATCCGTAAGTTGCTACAGGGGAGATAGTCCACAACTCACATCCGTAAGCTGCTACAGGGGAGATAGTCCATGACTCACATCCATATGTTGCTACAAGGGAGATAGTCCACGGCTCACATCCGTAAGTTGCTACAGGGGAGATAGTCCACAACTCACATCCGTAAGCTGCTACAGGGGAGATAGTCCATGACTCACATCCATATGTTGCTACAAGGGAGATAGTCCACGGCTCACATCCGTAAGTTGCTACAGGGGAGATAGTCCACAACTCACATCTGTATGTTGCTACAGGGGAGATAGTCCATGACTCACATCCATATGTTGCTACAGGGAAAAATCATGCTCTCAAAATTTTAATTTTGATTTCACTGCTGGTGCCTACCCAAAGACTTTAAAAACTGTTTAATCTTTGCATTGCTATGTCCATCCTGCTTTTGATTTTTGTCAAACAGTCTCCATTGCTATTTATTAAAGAGCCTAGATACTTAAAGTATGTCGATACACAGATATGAAAGTATGACATTAAATATAAAAGTATGATTCACTTACATAAAGGTGTAAATATGACATTAGATACACAGCTATGCAAATGTAACTTTAAATATGAAAGTATGATTCAGTTACATCACAGTAAGTACGAGAGAAAACAGGTAGCAGGATATGAACATTAGAAACAAAACTGTAAGTTGACATCAGTTACATCACAGTAAGTACGAGAGAAAACAGGTAGCAGGATATGAACATTAGAAACAAAACTGTAAGTTGACATCAGTTACATCACAGTAAGTACGAGAGAAAACACGTAGCAGGATATGAACATTAGAAACAAAACTGTAAGTTGACATCAGTTACATGGTTTTGGTCAATGCATTTGGGCTGATATTTCTTTTTTTTAACATTTAGGCACTTGATAAATTTTATTTTTACTTAGGGAGTTGATATTTTAATTTAATAATAAAAATACCACATTTAATTTCTGAATCAGACCTGGAAAGACAATAAAAATCTGTGATCTTTGTAATCAACCAAATGAAGATCATAGTCTTCTGGCTTCTTCCAAATCTGCTGTGGTTACCAGACTGTGTTTATGACAAATATATAAGTCTGTTTCTGAAACTATGTTTCATTAAAGTAGACCATCATACAAAAAACTAATTGATAGAATCATTTATTTTCTAACCTACTTCACAGCCATTTCTTGTATTGATAACAGACACTTGTATGAGCCTATGTAGCCTATGATCTTGTGTTGCCCTCTAATCTGTCTAACCCTGTCATTCAAACTTTAATTTGTCTGATAAGTATTATCAAATTATTTGCAAGATCTTGTGTTGTTACAGTTACTGTCATTCTCATGAGAATATTATAAGATGTGTAACACAACTTCATGTATCCCCTAATGGTCAAACAGATTCCCAGAGAGGAGGTTGTGGGTGTGAAGTTACAGTGCTGACTTCAGTTTATAAATTATTGATTGCATTTTGTACAAGAATAGTTTCTTAAAATATCATGTTTCCTTGATAACCTGGCAAGTGATTAGATACTGAACCTCTTTAGATGAAGGGGAAAAGCACATGTGTGCCATATGCAGGATGTATATACATCCAACAGCAATAGCCACTCACTAAGGGAAAATGTTTATGAAAGACAGTCTACTCATAAGCAGATAGAGCCCATTACCTCGGATGAAATGTGCCCAGTTGAGTTAAACCTGACAAACATCTATGCTCAAGTAAGATATCATGTCACATCAGATGTCTACCTAGGATTTATGAGATCCCATGGGCAGATACCTAGGATTTATGAGATCCCATGGCATGGGCAGATACCTAGGATTGATGAGATCCCATGGGCAGACGAACATGGAAAAAGAAACAAGAAAAAAAAAAAAAGACTGGATCAGCATGTAGGCAGAGAATATGACTTATCAAGCTCTGTTTATTGAAATATCTGGACCAAAAGTTTTTAGCAGAAGTCTGCTTCATTTTATAGCATGAAACAGTACGCCAGAGTCAGAAAACTGCAATAAAACTATCAGTTCTCAAAAGTGCATTTTAGCACAAACACCGATTTCACCTCTATGAAACAAACACATACATTCTATGTGAATACTGAAAACATTCAAATAAAAAATAAAAAAACTGCTGTTGCTGTCTCCCAGAGTTATTAACTTTTTATGTACCTGAAACAGCAGCATATGAAGTTTGAATTTCACCAGAAGGAGTTGCCAGGCCAAGAATAGCTAACTCTGGGATAACAACACATAAAATCACAACCGCCCAGGAGAATCCAGAAAATAATTAAACAAAAATGTACTGTAATAGGTGGAGAAGGGCATTAAAAAAATATGAATTGACCTGCTTAGTTACACTGCATCAGTTCTAACCAGACAGTGGGAACACTTTTATTATTCATGGCGTTATCTTCTGTCATAGATTGAGAAAGAGCTGCACTAATGCAAAAAATCTGTGAATTACTTTAATATACTAACTGTCGCATTTCAGAGTCTTGAAACACTGGACAATGGGAAAGCTTTTGCCCTTAATGGCTCCATCGGAGACACCAACTTTTCAGCACAAGTGTTTAGATATTATGCTGGCTGGGCTGACAAGATAAGTGGTAGAACTATTCCCGTTGGTAAGACATTTAAATACTATTTTTACTCTTCAGTAGGAAATATTTCATGCAAAACTAAGATTCGATTGCTCAGAGCACTAGCTATTACTACATTTACATATGGCTATGAAATGTCAACCTTAACAGCTGAACTCGAAAGGAAGATACAGGCAGTGGAAATGCGACGTTTTAGAAACATTCTTGGCATATCATACAGAGATTTTACAGAGACCACATTAAAGATGAAGAGGTTGGCCATACAATTATAAAGCAGATTGGCCACTATGAACCTATTTTAATTACAGTGAAAAGGTAATGTTATGGATATTTAATAAGATCCAACGGCCTCTCAAAAAGCAATACTGCAAGGAAAGAGGAGAAGAGGCAGACCAAGAAAGACCTGGCTACAGAACCTGACAGACTGGACAGGCCTCAGGAATACAGTAAAAAAGTCCATCACAACTGACTGCTAAAGGTGGAGAGAGCTGATCAGACCGTCAACAGAAACTGGTGACCCAACGAGACCTAGTGTTACTGGACGATAATGGTGAATTTATTAGATCATTTATTAGATGATTTTGGAATTATTGTTAAATGATGCCTCATTATGTGCTTCCCCTGCCTCCAGTTGAGAGCTACAGTAGTGTAATGGCTAGCTGGCTGGCCTGCCATACAGCTGGTTGTATGTTCAAATCTTCCTCAAGCAATAGATTTCTGTCAGCTCAGGAAAATGACAAGGAATGGAAATTAAAGACAGTTTGCATGCTATTTAACTCATCACCCATCCAGTGCTAAAAAGTTTATGAAAATATGGGGCTAGGACCAAAGGTCAAATACAGCCTAAGGAGTAGAAATGTTGCTTTTACTTACAATTACTCATATGGAAAAAGTATCAAATGAAAAAGAAAAAAAGGGTTAATTTAGAACTCATAGGCGAGGACTATTTAGGTGATGGCCCTGGGTCGAATCTTGACCCAGGAGCCTACCATGGGCCCCGCCGATCATTGCAAATGGTTTTGTATTAATGATCTTTCTAAGCTGGGTCTCAGGTCTCTGGCCCGTGAATATTCATATTTTGCGTATTCTGGTGCCTGAGTAAACTTAGTTAAAGAGCCCTCCTCTGTAACACTGGGGACAACTAGCATACACATGAGACAGTTTATGTTTGAAAACACTTGTAGCTGCTTATATCATTAGCCATCTTCACCTAAGTTCCGGTCAGTCAATGATGTAATGACTATGATGTAATATGTATCACAAATTGTATGTATTACCAGATGGCAACCACTTCAGCTACACCCGCCATGAACCTGTTGGAATCTGTGGCCAGATCACCCCGGTGAGACTTCCTGTGTGTAAAGTTGATGCCATGTTGGTCTTCGGTACATCTGTTCACAGCCTTATTTGATCTACTGCCAGTCATTTCTGAATGAAATGTTTTGCAATGTCATGATGTGAAACTGTTTAATCTCCTCTCTCTCTCTTGCTCACACTTATACACACTTTCAAGGTTTTTAATTTGAAGCCCCCTTGTAAATGTACGTGTGTGGGTGAGATATATATACGAGTGTTTGAGTGAGATAAGTAGGCACACTGGATATGCATGTGTGTGTATGTGTGCATGTGGGTATTATTAGTATATGTGTGTGTGTGTGTGTGTGTGTGTGTATTATGAGTATCTGTGTGTGTGTGTGTATTATGAGTATATGTGTGTGTGTGTGTGTATTATGAGTATATGTGTGTGTGCATTTGTGTATTATGAGTATATGTGTGTGTGTGTGTGTATTACGAGTATCTGTGTGTGTGTATTATGAGTATGTGTGTGTATGTTATGAGTATCTGTGTGTGTGTGTACAGAGGTGTTTGTGTGTGTTTGCGCATTTGTGTATGTAGGAGTATTTCTGTGTGTGTGTGTCTACAGAGGTGTTTGTGTGTATGTCGATGTGTGTGTCTGTATTTTGGAGCAGTAAGTATAGGTACATGTTTATTCACATATGAGTGTGTTTATATAAATTAGTGTGTATGTTAGCATGCATGTGTATGTGAACTGTGTGGATGTGTAAGTTTGTCTATGTAAGTATGAGCTTGTGTGTATGCATGTATCTGTATTTGAATGTTGTGTATGCCATCCATGCTCTGTATTTTTTTTTTACCCTACACTGGAACTATGTGTTTTACTATATGAATATAATATGTTATGTAGATAACAAATAAATAGATGTATGAAATATGAGTAGCTGGAAGAGCCGAGTATAACATGGGTCTCAGTGCCCAATTTATGACACAGTTTGTTCATTCATTCCCCCCAGCCTTTCCTTTTCCCCGGCTATATTTTGTCCTGCCATACTCTAATTGCCCCCTTATCATGGCATGCCTAAAGAATTTGTAATGACTTCTTCTGATGCTCGTAATCACTTCTGGGTTCACTTCTTTAAAGACATCTTTGTTTTATTTGATGCAACTCTACTTTGAACTTTACATGACAGAATCATCGCAGAAGCCAAAACAAGATTTTAATAATAGTTGCCAGGGCTTTCAGGTGAAGCCAGCCTGAAATGTTTATTGGGACATGTTCTGGGAGGCAAAGGCGTCCAGCATGAAACTTATTTATGTCGCCCACCTCATGGCAGTTGTCTAAAACAATATACAGCTAGAACCACTTATCTAACTCAACTTCTGGTTTTATGAAGAGTTCTTTAAAATATCACTTAATGATACATTCACAAGAATATCTCATTTTCTTACATTATTTGTTCATATCTGAATGATATTTATAGTGATACACTCCCTTGATTAATAATTCATTGCCTCCTTGTATTTGTTCAAATCTGTGTGATACATGCCCATATTGGTATTCTTACCTATACTACTGAGCATTTATTTTAATTTGTGTCTTTTTTCACCCTGCAGTGGAACTATCCACTCGTGATGGCTGCCTGGAAGATTGCTCCAGCAATTGCCGCAGGAAATGTTGTCATCCTCAAGCCAGCAGAGCAGACGCCATTGACAACACTGTATCTGGCTTCTCTCATTAAAGAGGTATGCAGAATTTTTGTGATAAAACTGAAACATTTTCTTGACAAACAATAATTGAGTGACCATGATCATGTTCTGATAAAGGTGCATCTATTGTCAGCTGAAAGCCTCACAAGCTTTGAACCCAAGGATCTTTACAAGTTTACCAAACTACATGAAAGTTAAGTTCCAATACAGAACTATACTTTGATGACCACATTGGCCACCGATCACATGTGATGAGTAGATGGAACATCCAAATCTGTAAAAAACTAGCATCTACATAGCACACACCAAGGGCTGCAACTGTAGAACACACCAAGGGCTGCACCCGTAGCACACACCAGAGTGTGGACCCATAGCACACACCAAGGGCTGCACCCATAGCACACACCAAGGGCTGCACCTATAGCACACACCAAGGGCTGCAACTGTAGCACACACCAAGGGCTGCACCCATAGCAAACACCAAGGGCTGCAACTGTAGCACACACCAAGGGGTGCACCTATAGCACACGCCAAGGGCTGCAACTGTAGCACACACCAAGGGCTGCACCCATAGCACACACCAAGGGCTGCAACTGTAGCACACACCAAGGGGTGCACCCATAGCACACACCAAGGGGTGCCCCCATAGCACACACCAAGGGCTGCAACTGTAGCACACCAAGGGCTGCACCCATAGCACACACCAAGGGCTGCACCCATAGCACACACCAAGTGCTGCAACTGTAGCAAACACCAAGGGCTGCACCCATAGCACACACCAAGGGCTGCACCCATAGCACACACTAAGGGCTGCACCCATAGCACACACCAAGGGCTGCAACTGATGCATCTTTGAAACCTTGTGCTGAAGACGACTATACTTTGAACAAGTTCTTTCTGTTTGACAGTTGGATGCAGGACTTCACTGGCTGCATGGGAGCACTCATACGTGCAACAGTAATTCAACAACATACATAAAAGTGTATGTCCTACATACGAATGCATCACACATAACCAGAAACAGACTCTGGCAGACAGCAAGTTAGACAAGTGAAAATAATATATAAAACACTTTAAAATAATGTTGTTTGTATTTCATGACTATGACTGTTGTCCATTGCCAGGCTGGCTTCCCTGCAGGAGTTGTGAACATCCTACCAGGGTATGGACCTACAGCTGGCGCAGCAATCACCTCCCACCCAGATATCAACAAGGTGGCTTTTACTGGATCCACTGAGGTAAGGGATCATACATTCTTGCAATTGTTCACACCTTGAAATTGTTCACACCTTGAAATTGTTCACACCTTGAAATTGTTCACACCTTAAAATTGTTCACACCTTGAAATTGTTCACACCTGGAATTGTTCACATCTTGAAATTGTTCACACCTGGAATTGTTCACATCTTGAAATTGGCAGCCTCCGACATTTCACACATCTTTACTGAAAATATATTGATTGTTTTACTGGTCAAGACTGGAAGATAGATGGTTTGAAAAAGTCACAGGCTTTATCTGGCAACAGTCTGTGTCCAGACATATTTATTTTGTTACTTTTACTTCTTGTCAATAATTTTTCAGTCTTCTCACGGCTCACACTTGTGATCTCGCCTTTGAGAAGCAGACATCTACTTGCTCATCTACTTCTTATATTATTTCTTATATTTAGATGTTCATTCCTGAAGAGAAAAAAATGCTATGTCAGAGGTCAACCTCAAAGGCTTGGAATATGACAAGCTTTTATCTATATAACGATATCATAGACTTCAGGTTGGACACATGATGATGATGTGGTGCTGAATGGATTATAAACATTTGAGCCTATCTATGTGACAGTGTTGTACATGACAGTGTTGTATGTGACAGTGTTGTACGTGACAGTGTTGTACATGACAGTTTTGTACGTGACAGTGTTGTACATGACAGTGTTGTATGTGACAGTGATGTATGTGACAGTGTTGTATGTGACAGTGTTGTACATGACAGTATTGTACATGACAGTGTTGTACATGACAGTGTTGTACATGACAGTGTTGTACATTACAGTGTTGTACATGACAGTGTTGTACATGATGACAGTGTTGTTCATGACAGTTTTGTACATGACAGTGTTGTACATGATGACAGTGTTGTTCATGACAATGTTGTACATGACAGTGTTGTAATGACAGTGTTGTACATGATGACAGTGTTGTACATGATGACAGTGTTGTACATGATGACAGTGTTGTACATGACAGCGTTGTACATGACAGCGTTGTACATGACAGTGTTGTACGTGACAGTGTTGTACATGACAGTGTTGTACATGAAGTGTTGTACTTGACCGTGTTGTACATGACAGTGTTGTACATGACAGTGTTGTACATGACAGCGTTGTACATGACAGCGTTGTACATGACAGTGTTGTACGTGACAGTGTTGTACATGACAGTTTTGTACATGACGGTGTTGTACGTGACAGTGTTGTACATTTCAGGTTGGCCAGATTATCATGCAGGCTGCAGGTGCCACCAACATCAAAAGGACAACTCTAGAACTGGGAGGCAAGAGCCCGTGTGTGATCTTTGATGATGTCGACTGTAAGTTGTTATCTTTATGTAGGGTGTCAATTATTTGTTATCTAGATATCATTTGTAAGTTGTATCTACATAAAAGATGTCAGTTTTTGTTATCTAGCCTGGATGTAAATTAGGGGCAAACACAACATAAGAGTTACTTTCAGTCGTGTTTAAAGACTTGATATCCCAGATACTTGTTATTATCAAATTTAAAATCAAATGAAAATGTTTGTATCTGAGCACATTCATGAGTTTCCTAGAAGGGGTATGCACGGTGTGGGTTAGGCTCCAATAGATAAGGTGGTGACTTTCCAATGCCTATCACGCCTGCCTGACCTAAAACTTTAACCTTTAACCTGAGCTATGTATTTGACCATAATTTCATCGCCCTGTGGGTTCCTGGACCCCATCCGCTGTCCTCCTAACAAGCATATCTTAGAAGTCGACTAACTAAAGGTGTTTCTTTGAAGTCAGACTGCATCTGCCTGAGTGGTGGGGAACCAACAGTCTGCATACAAATAAGCCCATCTGTAAAGCAGATGTGCATGCAAACTCAAGTTCTCAAGTTCTGAACAAGTAAAAGTCCAGAAGTGGATGAACAACCAGAAAATTCTGCTAGAGTTTACAGCTGGTGAATGTCAAAAATGAAGGAGACAACAATGTCAGAATGACCGGATAATTAAGTGTCCTCCTTCTCCACTCAGTTGCAGTTTGTTCACATACAAAGGTAGCTAGCTACTCAGACCCTGAGCAGCTTTTGCTGTACTTGTACGTGGTCCCATCATCCACCACTTTTCTTGGAGATGCAGCTAGGAGTTTTTCCCTTCATCAAATATCTCAGGCTCTCCTGTAGTTTTGGCAGCTCATGTGTGATTCTTTGTTGTTGGTAGAATAAAGAAGAGGACAACAAGGAGTTGTCTTATTACTGTCGTTGCTATCTGGTCAGACTCTTCTGTTTCCTATAATGCCATCTAGATTTCTGTATCAGACAAGTTGTAGACAGACTTTGGCCACACCCAGAGTATGACTGTGGGGACAGAACACTAAAATATACTTCATTTTCTGGGCAGGTTTTAATAATTCAGCTGGTGCTTTCAACAAACCAGGTATTCCTGATCTGTCATGCATGAGAAAAGAAAGAGTCATATTATGTAATAATACTTAGTTTTAAGGAAATAGCAGATTGGAGGTTGAGATGATAATTGGGGGGGGGGGGGGGGGGGGTCATAGCTGAGAGGTTTATGCTCTCTATCTTAGAAGATTTTGGTCTGCAAGTCTCAGTATTAGAATATTAATCCTAACAAAAGAAATTAGTGTCTAATAATTCCATCTGTCCTCATTATCTCTTGAGTAGTGAGGTTAGATAATTCCATCTATCCTCATTATCTCTTGAGTAGGGAGGTTAGATAACTTCATCAGTCCTCATTATCTCTTGAGTAGTGAGGTTAGATAACTCCATCTATCCTCATTATCTCTTGAGTAGGGAGGTTAGATAACTTTATCTGTCCTCATTATCTCTTGAGTAGTGAGGTTAGATAACTCCCTCTGTTCTCATTATCTCTTGAGTAGTGAGGTTAGATAACTCCATCAGTCTTCATTATCTCTTGAGTAGTGAGGTTAGATAACTCCATCTGTCCTCATTATCTCTTGAGTAGGGAGGTTAGATAACTCCATCTATCCTCATTATCTCTTGAGTAGTGAGGTTAGATAACTTCATCTGTCCTCATTATCTCTTGAGTAGGGAGGTTAGATAACTCCATCTATCCTCATTATCTCTTGAGTAGTGAGGTTAGATAATTCCATCTGTCCTCATTATCTCTTGAGTAGTGAGGTTAGATAACTCCATCTATCCTCATTATCTCTTGAGTAGTGAGGTTAGATAATTCCATCTATCCTCATTATCTCTTGAGTAGTGAGGTTAGATAACTCCATCAGTCCTCATTATCTCTTGAGTAGTGAGGTTAGATAACTCCATCTGTCTTCATTATCTCTTGAGTAGGGAGGTTAGATAACTCCATCTGTCCTCATTATCTCTTGAGTAGTGAGGTTAGATAACTCCATCTGTCTTCATTATCTCTTGAGTAGTGAGGTTAGATAACTCCATCAGTCCTCATTATCTCTTGAGTAGTGAGGTTAGATAACTCCATCTGTCCTCATTATCTCTTGAGTAGGGAGGTTAGATAACTAACTCTGTCCTCATTATCTCTTGAGTAGTGAGGTTAGATAACTCCATCTGTCCTCATTATCTCTTGAGTAGTGAGGTTAGATAACTCCATCTATCCTCATTATCTCTTGAGTAGGGAGGTTAGATAACTCCATCAGTTCTCATTATCTCTTGAGTAGGGAGATTAGATAACTCCATCAGTCCTCATTATCTCTTGAGTAGTGAGGTTAGATAAATAGCCTTCTCACAAAATAGCAGATCTTTTTTTTCACTGACTGTAAGCTCCCGCGGAAAGTCTTAGCTGTTCATCCATTTGGACTTTGGTTTTGTGCCAGGGTCTGGGTTTTGTGTCATCGAAAGATATAAAATTGAACAAGAGGTGTATTAGGGAGCTTTACAATATAATAAACACAAAACGAAATGTGAACACTGCGGCTATAGAGCCTTCATCAGCACACACATAAATCAAACAAAACCACACATATATACAGAATCACTTAACTGACGTATCCCGAAGCAGCCACGTTGATGTCTTGCCAGTGTTGAGAAAAGATGCAGGTACTCACCATAAAGTGTTGAAAAGATGCAGGTACTCACCATAAATGTCTGTTACAGTATCAGTGGAAATAATGATACCTAAAAAATGTGGGTACTACTTACGGTTGCACACCGCTAGGGCAGAAAAAGCCCTGAATGTAGACAATTTGCATCTCTTTGCCTCATCCTCAGGTAGGAATTCTAATATAATGCTTGTACATCATGTCTGTAATTATTCATCTATTGATCAGGAAATTATACTTAATTCCCTTTTTTTCATCATGGATGCTTATATGTGTAACATCTTTGAAGTAAGTGACTTGTCTTTTTAAACCAGTTCTTCTTAAAATTTTATTTTCGTTTTCTCTTTGTGTTAGTTTTGAAAAGAATATTTTTTTCTAACTGTTGTAAATAATAGAAATTGTGTTTCTATGGTGTTGCAGTGGACACAGTTGTACAGCAGGCACAAGAAGCCTGTATGACCAACATGGGTCAGTGTTGTGCTGCAGGGACCAGAACATTCGTGCAAGAGAAGATTTACGACGAGTTTGTTGCCAGGAGCAGAGAACTGGCTAAAACTAGAAAAATTGGTGACCCCTTTGATGCAAGTACAATCAACGGCCCCCAGGTTGGTCATTTACTCACTTCTAATGTCTTAGTAATACAATCAACGGCCCCCAGGTTGGTCATTTACTCACTTCTAATGTCTTAGTAATGCTGACAGATACGAAACTAAATGCTGAGCTAGCGACATCGCTACACACCAGGCATACCCACAAGTGCTTCGTCTCCCACAGCAAGTGTCTTAAGGTGTAGACACTATTGAAACCACAGGAAAAGACAAAGGAAATTTATGGAGCAGATTAGTCAGAGAGTTGGAAGTGAGAAATGTTTTTATGGGTGAAAATAATAGACAAAAGAGGCAGAGATGTCTGGAAAAGACGTGTGTGAACAGTTAGGCAACAAATAATAATGTAGGCTAACGCCCACTTTATCAATGTATCAAATGACAGCAACGTGTGGAGACAACATTGTTGTTCTTTGAATATGTTGTAATTAAAGCATCATCAATAAAGTGCAGGTCTGATAAATACTTCCTAATCCAACACTTCATTCAAATGAATGAACACACTTTATTTTTAAAGAGTCACAAATTGGGTATGCAGGCCCATCTTACATTCGGCCCTTTCAAAGACCAGTCTCTCATACAGCAATGATATTTTTATCAATAAAGCATGTTATGTTCATATAATAAAATGCATATTATGAATATCAATGCATCCACATGCTCGCACACACACACACCACCCACAAACACATGCCCACCCACTCTTATACACCTACAAACATACATACACACATATATACATACACACACTGACACATACATTCACACACACATAGATAATAAATAGATACCTATATACAGGCACACACATAATACATACATACATACATGCACTCACGCACGCATACACACACACATGCAGACATGCACACAGACACACATGGAGACACTGAGAGACACAGACATTATCAAGTGCTATCTCTACACTGATGGAATCACTTATCGATATCACATCCACTATCTTGTTTTCTGAAAACAAAAGGGGGAGGGGTACTGAAAAGAGTGATATACTGATACTTGATTTTGCAGTAGAGAATTAGACATCTAATCTTCTCATATAAGGGCTGAAGAAATAGGAAGACGTGTCTACATGTAAAGAAATCATTCAGCAGTTGTGAAATCATTCAGCAGTTGTGAAATCATTCAGCAGTTGTGAAATCATTCAGCAGCTGTGAAATCATTCAGCAGCTGTGAAATTCATTAGCGCATCTTCAGCAGCTGTGAAATCATTCAGCAGCTGTGAAATCATTCAGCAGCTGTGAAATCATTCCAGCCTCTCGCCAGCTGTGAAATCATTCAGCAGTTGTGAAATCTCATTCAGCAGTTGTGAAATCATTCACCAGTTGTGAAATCATTCAGCCAGCTGTGAAATTCATTCAGCAGCTGTGAAATCATTCAGCAGCAGCTGTGAAATCATTCAGCAGCTGTGAAATCATTCAATCAGCTGTGAAATCATGAAATCAGTTCAGCTGCAGTGAAATCATTCAGCAGCTGTGAAATCATTCAGCAGCTGTGAATTAAAATCATTCAGCAGCTGTGAAATCATTCAGCAGCTGTGAAATCATTCAGCAGCTGTGAAATCATTCAGCAGCTGTGAAAATCATTCCACCTCAGCAGCCAGTGTGAAATCATTCAGCAGTTGTGAAATCCATTCAGCAGTTGTGAAAATCATTCAGCAGTTGTGAAATCATTGTGAAAAGTCAGATTCAGCAGTGGTGTGAAATCATTCAGCAGTTGTGAAATCATTCAGCAGTTGTGAAATCATTCAGCAGCTGTGAAATCATTCAGCAGCTGTGAAATCATTCAGCAGCTGTGAAATCATTCAGCAGCTGTGAAATCATTCAGCAGCTGTGAAATCATTCAGCAGCTGTGAAATCATTCAGCAGCTGTGAAATCCTTCAGCAGCTGTGAAATCCTTCAGCAGCTGTGAAATCCTTCAGCAGCTGTGAAATCCTTCAGCAGCTGTGAAATCCTTCAGCAGCTGTGAAATCCTTCAGCAGCTGTGAAATCCTTCAGCAGCTGTGAAATCCTTCAGCAGCTGTGAAATCCTTCAGCAGCTGTGAAATCATTCAGCAGTTGTGAAATCATTCAGCAGTTGTGAAATCATTCAGCAGTTGTGAAATCATTCAGCAGTTGTGAAATCATTCAGCAGTTGTGAAATCATTCAGCAGCTGTGAAATCATTCAGCAGCTGTGAAATCATTCAGCAGCTGTGAAATCATTCAGCAGCTGTGAAATCATTCAGCAGCTGTGAAATCATTCAGCAGCTGTGAAATCATTCAGCAGCTGTGAAATCATTCAGCAGCTGTGAAATCATTCAGCAGTTGTGAAATCATTCAGCAGTTGTGAAATCATTCAGCAGTTGTGAAATCATTCAGCAGTTGTGAAATCATTCATGTGACAACTGTTTCAGTCCAAATCATTCAGCATTGTTTCAGTCCAAATCTTCAAGAGAGCTGGCTATTCGGTAGCTGCTAAAAATAAATTAAAAAATGTTTCCACAGCGAATGTTTTATTTATTAAAAGTCAGATTCTAGTACAGTGGTACCTTGACAAGCCAACTTAATTCATTCCTGACTGTGGTTTGTATCTCAAAAGTTTGTATCTTGAAAGCCTTTCTCTGATATATATTATGGGAAATCAATTAATCTATTCTCAGAAGAGTTAACTTTTGATGTCATTTAAAGACTAGGATTTTCAGGGTAATAAAAAAACAAATCTTCAGACACACAACTGGAAATCTTCAAAAAATAAAATTGTTCAGCCCCCCCCCCCCCCCACCCCCATCCCTCCTGCACGTATGTAGACTAACTGCACTGTGTATGTGATTGTAAAAATACTGAAATAGATACACAAAAGAAAAGCATATATGTCTTTGCAGCACGCACTGCACACACCATTCCTTGTGCTATACTTACAGATAAATGTGATGTAGTGACAACAAACATGTGTGCATAGACAGTACATTGCGATTCGTATCTCGAGTCTAGGCTCATATGTAGAGGTCAGAATTTGATAGGATATGAAAAAAGTTTGTGTTCGTATGAAGAGCAGTTCACTAATGTACACCACGCACACACGCACACACGCACACACACACACAACACACACACACATAGATCATCAAAAATCAACAAAGTTCATCAGACGTGCTGAAATTCTCCTTGTGTGATCTATGCAATAAAACTGAAACACTTATGGAGTCAACCGTCTGCAATAACAGCAATCCTTCACACAGTACACAATCATTTTAACATTGACCAAAGCTGATTTACTGATCACACAATCAGAAATCTGACTCAGGTACTTGATTTATCCTTAGATTGATGAGGAGCAGTTTAACAAAATCCTGGATTTAATTCAAAGTGGCAGCAAGGATGGAGCCAAGCTGGAGGTTGGCGGGGAAAGATTTGGTGACAAGGGCTACTTCATCAAGCCAACTGTCTTCTCCGGCGTCACCGATGACATGAGAATTGCAAAAGAAGAGGTAATGTTTCTTGGTTTTTGGCCTCTAATGCTTGTCCTGCTTGCATGACTGCACTCATTCTGCAGACACTTACTTCTTCTTCTTCAATCATTCTGTCAGAAAACTTATATCAGGAGACTGACAGTCTTGATGAGAGCCACCATGCAGTCCAAATCTTCATGTGCACATGACAACTGTTTCAGTCCAAATCTTCATGTGGACATGACAACTGTTTCAGTCCAAATCTTCATGTGCACATGACAACTGTTTCAGTCCAAATCTTCATGTGCACAACTGTTTCAGTCCAAATCTGTTGACAACTGTTTCAGTCCAAATCTTCATGTAGACATGACAACTGTTTCAGTCCAAATCTTCATGTAGACATGACAACTGTTTCAGTCCAAATCTTTATGTGGACATGACAACTGTTTCAGTCCAAATCTTCATGTGGACATGACAACTGTTTCAGTCCAAATCTTTATGTGCACATGACAACTGTTTCAGTCCAAATCTTCATGTGCACATGACAACTGTTTCAGTCCAAATCTTTATGTGGACATGACAACTGTTTCAGTCCAAATCTTCATGTGGACATGACAACTGTTTCAGTCTAATTTCTGCATTCTTATTAACCCACTCTCTTGTCATAAAAGTAACTTTCAGCTCAGAACATGTTTTACTGAAGTCCCAACTGTCCTCAACGGTTAATTTGTGTAAGTCATTACAACCCAGATATGTTAGACACAAAAGAGACAATTATCAGTGACACGGACAGTTAGGAACAGTTTGCCGTGTATTGAGTAAACAATCAGTCAACACATGGCACAGCAACTGGTAAATAATGAATTAAGCAATCCTAACTGAGACTACTTTCATGTCTGCTAGCAAAATTAGAAAATATGACTGTACTTACAACACTGCACTTAGTGTTTTTCTTCAGAAGAAATATGTGTCAAAAATTTATGTAAAAAAAACAAAAAAAAAATTGAATAAAACCACAATTCTTGTCAGATAAATGTCATAAATGACAAGTAAAGTTTGTTTTTTTAAAACCAGATTTTTGGCCCAGTGCAGCAGATTCTAAAGTTCAAGGATCTGGATGAAGTCATTGAGCGGGCCAACAATACTACCTATGGGCTGGCTGCTTCCATCTTCACCAATGACATCAACAGAGCTCTGACATTTGCTCACAGTGTCCAGGCTGGCACTGTTTGGTAAGCAGACTCGACGTGTTACTGCTGCTGTTGTTGTTGGTTTTGCTTCAGGGCTGTTGGGGTTACTATATCCAGTGTTGGCTGGTACAGGAAGGATGCAATGAGTCTGCAAATCAGCAGAATGAGTTGATGGTTGTTGGAGGACAATATTTTAGGCTTTTTTTGTTTATCTGAAGTCAAGGACAGCTAAAAAGAAGGTAGACAGTTGTTTCACTGCTGTTTGAGAAGTGAAGCTAGTTTCTGGAAACAATTAACATGCGTATGAATGTAGCCAGTCTTATCCAGAATGTAGCCGTCACCCTAGTCCAACAGACACTCTATATCCATTAACAGTTCTTCAGTGTCATGCCGGTGAGTGCAGTGGCTAGAGTACTTGCCTGCTAGCATGGTAGTCATGGATTCAAGGCAGACTGACTAAGGCTGCCAGGTCAACCCAAATAGGCAGCAGTCAATGTTCTGGACAGTTCAGAATGATGAGCTTGATATGCCAGGCTGGACTGACAGTTGGTTTACGCAAACATGGGGTTAGCATCATTTACACAACCCATCTGAGGATGTGGAAACAGGTCTGATATTTGTGTGTGTCTGTGTGCACATGCCGGCATTTGTGTGTATGTGTCTGTATGAGTATATGCATGTGCATGCGGGTTTATTCCCCAGGTGTCTCTAGCTGCCATACTGTGTGTGTATGCATGTTTTGTTCAGAATATTTTTTTCCTGCATACCACCATATTTTATTAAATGCTAACTTTTTTTTTTAAATTCTAGGATTAATGACCACAACTATGTGACCCCCCAAGGTCCATTTGGAGGATTCAAAATGTCCGGCTTGGGCAGAGAACTGTAAGTGTTGAGTACATTTCTGTAGTTGCCCATATTTGTATCCATGCTTTTTTTTTTTTTAGCACTACAGGTATGGCTGTACATCTTGTTGGTTCGTTCCATGTATGATACATATATATATATATATATGCATTATCATCCTTTTGGAGCAAGTCACGTACAAAACATCACTCTAATGGTCTGCAGAACAGATTCTCAATCTTTTGCTTTGTCTCAACTTCTGCCATTTTGATTCTGTGTCTAAAATGTACTGTGTTAACTTTCCTACTGGTTCACACCTGAATTTGCATCCAAAACTGACCTTCCATGACAGTTCCTTTGAAACTTCTGTAACATTTCATAGATGTCAGGTGCACTGCAGAACACTTCAGGTCATCTCATATGTGGTGAATTTCTCTTTTGAAGAACAATTTGTTAATCCCCGGCAATTTTTCTTTCTTGAAATGTAATCTGGATAAGAGGAATTTCTGATAAAAACTATTTCTTGGGTGCCCGGTGAGTTCTTCTTATTAGGTCTGCACAGTATTATACTGATCAGAACCGGTTCTCTTTGATGTTCAAATCTTGTAGAATATTTTCTTCTCTTTCTTAAAATTTAAAATGTCGACAAATGATTTGATCTTCAGTCCTAAAAAAAATAGGAGTTGAGAAGGAGAATGATCACAAATACTGATCAGTTAAATGTTTTTGCTTGCTTCTGTCTATTTATTAGCACAAATTACCAGCCAAATGTTGATTATGAGATACTTTATTTGAGAGGGACTGACCACTGCTAAGGTGGTGTGTTTTGTATTGCCTGAAGTTAGTCCTGTTGTATATTTATAATGGTCACTGCCAAGAAGAAAAGCAGTGGCAAACTACCGTCTTCAAGTTGCCAAGAATGGTTGTGATTACACAACCAGGGGAAAGTCATGAACTTAGAACAATCAAACATAGACAAATATTTATAGGACATTTTATGAGAAGGAATGGATGCGAGAACTTGGTAACATCTGGCCAGATTGATGGAAAGAGAGCAAGGGGAGATAAACATCTGATGGCCTGGACTGATGGATGCGGTGAGACACAAATATGAAACTCATCCCTGATTCTGATGATCATGTGAGATGGCCATTATGGCCTATGCTTACCAACATGATGATGATGATGATAATGATGATGATGATGATGATGATGATGATGATGATGATGATGATGATGATGATATATTTAGATAAGTTAAATTCTGTTAGGAAGTCACCATGGCATGGCAGCTAGACGCTCACGTTAGGATCGGAAGGTCATGGGTTCGCTCCCTGTCAGAGCTCGACTTTTTAAAAAAAATGACCTCGACTCCCAGGTTGACCCAGCCTTGAATGGGTACCAGGTGCAGTCCCGGGAAGTGAAGGCGGCCGGCGTGATACTGACCACATCACCCATCTTGTGTCGATTGTTCTATAAAAATATAGGACTAGCCCTATATGCCCTATATGCCTTAAGGCATGGAAAAGGGACCTTCGCTTTTAATTTTGTTGCTATTATTATTACTTCTGTAAATGTTTATAGTTAACAATTCTCCTTTACATGTTTGTGGATTTACTGCTGGTTGTATTTTTACAGCTCAATGTGGTCTAACCGTTTCTTGTAATGTGTACAGCAACATTTCATGTACATTTTCTTGTTCTTTCCACTGCTCACAGGGGAGAGTATGGGCTGCAAAATTATGTAGAAATCAAACATGTAAGTATCAAAGTCAGATGTGACTTTTAAATAGAGTGACTTAAATACTTTCTACTGATTTAAAATATAAGAGCCAGTAGGAGATCTGAAGATGTGGTGTTATATATGAGCCAGTAGGAGATCTGTAGATGTAGTGTTATATATGAGCCTGTAGGAGATCTAGAGATGTGGTGTTATATATGAGCCAGTAGGAGATCTGGAGATGTAGTGTTATATATGAGCCAGTAAGAGATCTGTAGATGTGGTGTTATATATGAGCCAGTAGGAGATCTGTAGTTGTGGTGTTATATATGAGCCAGTAGGAGACCTGTAGATGTGGTGTTATATATGAGCCAGTAGGAGATCTAGAGATGTGGTGTTATATATGAGCCAGGAAGAGATCTGGAGATGTAGTGTTATATATGAGCCAGTAAGAGATCTGTAGATGTGGTGTTATATATGAGCCAGTAGGAGATCTGTAGATGTAGTGTTATATATGAGCCTGTAGGAGATTTGGAGATGTGGTGTTATATATGAGCCAGTAGGAGATCTGGAGATGTAGTGTTATATATGAGCCAGTAAGAGATCTGTAGATGTAGTGTTATATATGAACCAGTAGGAGATCTGGAGATGTTTTGTTATATATGAGCCAGTAGGAGATCTGGAGATGTGGTTTTATATATGAGCCAGTAGGAGATCTGGAAATGTGGTGTTATATATGAACCTGTAGGAGATCTGGAGATGTGGTGTTATATATGAGCCAGTAGGAGATCTGTAGATGTGGTGTTATATATGAGCCAGTAGGAGATCTGTTGATGTGGTGTTATATATGAGCCAGTAGGAGATCTGGAGATGTGGTGTTATATATGAGCCAGTAGGAGATCTGGAGATGTGGTGTTATATATGAGCCAGTAGGAGATCTGGAGATGTGGTGTTATATATGAGCCAGTAGGAGATCTGGAGATGTGGTGTTATATATGAGCCAGTATGAGATCTGTAGATGTAGATCTATGAGCCAGTAGATGTGTGGTGTTATATATGAGCCAGTAGGAGATCTGTTGAGTAGAGTTATATATGAGCCAGTAGGAGATCTGAGATGTGTGTTATATATGAGCCAGTATAGATGTGGTGTTATATATGAGCCAGTAGGAGATCTGGAGATGTAGTGTTATATATGAGCCAGTAGGAGATCTGGAGATGTAGTGTTATATATGAGCCAGTAGGAGATCTGGAGATGTGGTGTTATATATGAGCCAGTAGGAGATCTGTAGATGTGGTGTTATATATGAGCCAGTAGGAGATCTGTAGATGTGGTGTTATATATGAGCCAGTAGGAGATCTGGTGTTAGAGCCAGTGTCTGGAGTGTTATTAGATATGAGCCAGTAGGAGATATAGAGATCTGTAGAGCCAGTGTCTGGTGTTTATATATGAGCCAGTAGGAGATCTGTAGATGTGTGTGTTAGTGAGCCAGTAGGAGATCTGTAGATGTATATATATGAGCCAGTAGGAGATCTGGAGATGTGTGTTATATATGATATGACATCTGCCAGTAGTGAGATATGAGCCAGTAGGAGATCTGTAGATGTAGTGTTATATATGAGCCAGTAGGAGATCTGTAGATGTAGTGTTATATATGAGCCAGTAGGAGATCTGTAGATGTCTGTAGTGTTATATATAGTGAGCCAGTAGCCAGTAGGAGATCTGTAGATGTAGTGTTATATATGAGCCAGTAGGAGATCTGTAGGTGTGGTGTTAGATATGAGCAGTAGGAGATCTGTAGGTGTGGTGTTAGATATGAGCCAGTAGGAGATCTGTAGATGTAGTGTTATATATGAGCCAGTAGGAGATCTGTAGATGTAGTGTTATATATGAGCCAGTAGGAGATCTGTAGATGTAGTGTTATATATGAACCAGTAGGAGATCTGTAGATGTAGTGTTATATATATGAGCCAGTAAGAGATCTGTAGATGTAGTGTTATATATGAGCCAGTAGGAGATCTGTATCTGGTGTTAGATATGTAGTGTTATATATATGAGCCAGTAGGAGATCTGGAGATGTAGATGTGTTTATATATGAGCCAGTAGGAGATCTGTAGATGTAGTGTTATATATGAGCCAGTAGGAGATCTGTAGATGTAGTGTTATATATGAGCCAGTAGGAGATCTGGATATATGAGCCAGTGAACATCTGGAAATGTGTGTTATATATGAGCCAGTAGGAGATCTGGAGATGTAGTGTTATATATGAGCCAGTAGGAGATCTGGAGATGTAGTGTTATATATGAGCCAGTAGGAGATCTGGAGATGTAGTGTTATATATGAGCCAGTAGGAGATCTGGAGATGTGGTGTTATATATGAGCCAGTAGGAGATCTGGAGATGTAGTGTTATATATGAGCCAGTAGGAGATCTGGAGATGTGGTGTTATATATGAGCCAGTAGGAGATTTGGAGATGTGGTTGTTATATATGTAGGAGATCTGGAGATGTAGTGTTATATATGAGCCAGTAGGAGATCTGGAGATGTGCTGTTATATATGAGCCAGTAGGAGATTTGGAGATGTGGTGTTAGATATTAGCCAGTAGGAGATCTGGAGATGTAGTGTTATATATGAGCCAGTAGGAGATCTGTTGATGTAGTGTTATATATGAGCCAGTAGGAGATCTGTAGATGTGGTGTTATATATGAGCCAGTAGGACAACTGTAGATGTGGTGTTAGATATGAGCCAGTAGGAGATCTGTTGATGTAGTGTTATAAATGAGCCAGTAGGAGATCTGTTGATGTAGTGTTATAAATGAGCCAGTAGGACATCTGGAGATGTAGTGTTATATATGAGCCAGTAGGAGATCTGGAGATGTGGTGTTATATATGAGCCAGTAGGAGATCTGTAGATGTAGTGTTATATATGAGCCAGTAGGAGATCTGTAGATGTGGTGTTATATATGAGCCAGTAGGAGATCTGTAGATGTGGTGTTATATATGAGCCAGTAGGAGATCTGTAGGTGTGGTGTTAGATATGAGCCAGTAGGAGATCTGTAGGTGTGGTGTTAGATATGAGCCAGTAGGAGATCTGTAGATGTAGTGTTATATATGAGCCAGTAAGAGATCTGTAGATGTAGTGTTATATATGAGCCAGTAGGAGATCTGTAGATGTAGTGTTATATATGAACCAGTAGGAGATCTGTAGATGTAGTGTTATATATGAGCCAGTAAGAGATCTGTAGATGTAGTGTTATATATGAACCAGTAGGAGATCTGTAGATGTGGTGTTAGATATGAACCAGTAGGAGATCTGTAGATGTAGTGTTATATATGAACCAGTAAGAGATCTGTAGATGTAGTGTTATATATGAGCCAGTAGGAGATCTGTAGATGTAGTGTTATATATGAGCCAGTAGGAGATCTGTAGATGTAGTGTTATATATGAGCCAGTAAGAGATCTGTAGATGTAGTGTTATATATGAGCCAGTAGGAGATCTGTAGGTGTGGTTTTATATATGAGCCAGTAGAACATCTGGAAATGTGGTGTTATATATGAGCCAGTAGGAGATCTGGAGATGTAGTGTTATATATGAGCCAGTAGGAGATCTGGAGATGTAGTGTTATATATGAGCCAGTAGGAGATCTGGAGATGTAGTGTTATATATGAGCCAGTAGGAGATCTGGAGATGTAGTGTTATATATGAGCCAGTAGGAGATCTGTAGGTGTGGTGTTATATATGAGCCAGTAGGAGATCTGGAGATGTGCTGTTATATATGAGCCAGTAGGAGATTTGGAGATGTGGTGTTAGATATGAGCCAGTAGGAGATCTGGAGATGTAGTGTTATATATGAGCCAGTAGGAGATCTGTTGATGTAGTGTTATATATGAGCCAGTAGGAGATCTGTAGATGTAGTGTTATATATGAGCCAGTAGGAGATCTGGAGATGTGGTGTTATATATGAGCCAGGAAGAGATCTGGAGATGTGGTGTTATATATGAGCCAGTAGGACAGAATGATGATGCAGTGAACATCATGAAACCCTTCTGGATCATCTCAAGAAAAATTTGTAGTATTTATGTCATCTGGTTTGGCTAGACCCGTATTATGGAGACATGTATAAAGCAGCTGTGGTGGTGTAGTGGCTAGACATTTCACTGCTGGCTGGAGAGTCTTGGATTCAAATTTGCTCTGGGCCTACAATGAATATGAGGAAACTAATATCATGGGAAGTAAAAGTGGCTGGCTTTATGATGTCCTCATCACACATTGAGTGCTGATTGTATGTCCATGAAAATATCCTAACTTTGACTTTACTAGGGATTGAAACCCAGACCACCAAGCTGTATAGTCAGTGTACTATCATAGTCCGTAAAGTAAATTTTTATTACAGCACACTACATTGTTTTATATTTTATTACATTAGATGCCTACTTTAATTTCAGGTTGTTGTGAGGCTGCCACAGTCGAATGCAGCACTACAGTAGTGTTGTTGTATGTTCATACCGCTTTCAACAGGACAACAGTGAAACAGAAATATACACACGACACCTGAGAGAAATAAAAGCATACAGAAATTCAATCATATTTTATATTGTTGATATACCTGCAGATGTGCACACACTTTTTTGACACCATTGTTGAAATCTGTTATCAAGATATATACAAGTTTAAAATACGACAATCTTTGCTGACGTTGCATATAAGCGACAACAAAGCTTATCAGAACTATATACATGTTGAACATGTGTTAGCCTGAGGCTGTTCGACATCTCCAAAATGTATCTTTTTCATCAAACGAAGTTGGCAAAACTATTGGATCAAAGTAACGACTACACTAAATGAAAAGAGACACAGAGTGGGATCCTGAAGAGTGGGTCCCTAAAGAAGGGGTTTCTAAACAGTGGGCTCATTAAATAGTTGACATAGTCCAGACAAGTAAATGATAACTCATACACCTGTAGTGAACTGTGTGCTAGACAGCATGTTGATAATCAACATCACAACACTCTAGGCTAACCCACAGATGCTTCGTTTTCCTCGGTAAAAATTACAGTTGATGAATGCTAAACACTCCAGTGGTGTGTGAGAGTAGAAATTATGAAGACCTGACTAGCTCATGAAGCACAACTGTGAGAGACTATTTGACTCCATAGATGGTGTGGTATCATGGCACCTGTACTTGATGTGAGAGACTATTTGCCCCCATAGATGGTGAGGTATCATGGCACCTGTACTTGATGTGAGAGACTATTTGCCCCCATAGATGGTGTGGTATCATGGCACCTGTACTTGATGTGAGAGACTATTTGCCTCTATAGATGGTGTGGTATCATGGCACCTGTACTTGATGTGAGAGACTATTTGCCCCCATAGATGGTGAGGTATCATGGCACCTGTACTTGATGTGAGAGACTATTTGCCCCCATAGATGGTGTGGTATCATGGCACCTGTACTTGATGTGAGAGACTATTTGCCCCCATAGATGGTGTGGTATCATGGCACCTGTACTTGATGTGAGAGACTATTTGCCTCTATAGATGGTGTGGTATCATGGCACCTGTACTTGATGTGAGAGACTATTTGCCCCCATAGATGGTGTGGTATCATGGCACCTGTACTTGATGTGAGAGACTATTTGCCCCCATAGATGGTGAGGTATCATGGCACCTGTACTTGATGTGAGAGACTATTTGACTCCATAGATGGTGTGGTATCATGGCACCTGTACTTGACGTGAGAGACTATTTGCCCCCATAGATGGTGAGGTATCATGGCACCTGTACTTGATGTGAGAGACTATTTGCCCCCATAGATGGTGTGGTATCATGGCACCTGTACTTGATGTGAGAGACTGCCTCCATAGATGGTGTGGTATCATGGCACCTGTACTTGATGTTAGAGACTATTTGCCTCTTTAGATGGTGAGGTATCATGGCACCTGTACTTGATGTGAGAGACTGCCTCCATAGATGGTGTGGTATCATGGCACCTGTACTTGATGTGAGAGACTATTTGCCTCTATAGATGGTGTGGTATCATGGCACATGTACTTGATGTGAGAGACTATTTGCTTCAATAGATGGTGTGGTATCATGGCACCTGTACTTGATGTGAGAGACTATTTGTCTCCATAGATGGTGTGGTATCATGGCACCTGTACTTGATGTGAGAGACTATTTAACTCCATAGATGGTGTGGTATCATGGCAACCGTACTTGATGTGAGAGACTATTTAACTCCATAGATGGTGAGGTATCATGGCACCTGTACTTGATGTGAGAGACTATTTAACTCCATAGATGGTGTGGTATCATGGCACCTGTACTTGATGTGAGAGACTATTTGCCCCCATAGATGGTGTGGTATCATGGCACATGTACTTGATGTGAGAGACTATTTGCCTCCATAGATGGTGTGGTATCATGGCACCTGTACTTGATGTGAGAGACTATTTGACTCCATAGATGGTGTGGTATCATGGCACCTGTACTTGATGTGAGAGACTATTTGCCTCCGTAGATGCTGTGGTATCATGGCACATGTACTTGATGTGAGAGACTATTTGCCTCCTTTATTGTTCTTTTCTTCTTATTTTTCTGTGGGGGTTATCACACGTGTACAAGCAGGTAAGCACACACACACAAACTCACACATACACACACGCATGAACGAACACATACACATACATACACACATGCCTACATTGTTTAGATGATAGATCAATATCTTGGCACAAGAGTACTTACCTATAAGTGCTCTGTTCTACTTTTGACCCAAGTTCGAGTCTGAAGAATCTCAACGCAGTGCACGAACCCCGTTGCACCGACGAGGATCCTGAAAAACTGTGGGTAGATTTTTGACTCCACATTTTGCCCCGGCAGTGCCGTTTGAATACTCTTTTTCGATTTCTAACTACCAAGGGACTTTTTACGTGCGCAACAAATCACACGGGCGTCCGATCTTACTACCCAGAGACCAGGGGAAATTACTAGAAGTCCACGTGAAAAGTTTCAGCCTTCATTGGGGCTTGAACCACGGACCTCTAACACTCGAGGCGGACGCCGTGTCTCGAGACCACGCAGCCCCCGACATACATACATGCGCATACATACATTCATACATACACACACACATGCATACATACACACACACACATAGATACATACATAGATACATACATACATACATACATACATACATACATACATACATACATACATACATACATACATACATACATACATACATACATACATACATACATACATACATACATACATACATACATACATACATACATACATACATACATACATACATACATACATACATACATACATACATACATACATACATACATACATACATACATACATACATACACGCATTCATACTAGGTGATTTTCACTATTCGGCCGAATACGAATAGCTGGACTAACTATTCGACCGAATACGAATATGAATAGTGAATCATCATCATCAGGTGCTTCGCCGACTGGCATGGGCGATTATGCCTCGCCACAATCTGCTATCTTCTGCAGCATGTATTAGTTCGGTGCTGACATACCTCAATGCAATGCAACAAGACTTTCAAAAATCTTCTCTCGTTGTCTTCCTCCATCCCTCCTTCCACAGATCATCCAGTGGTCGCCACATGTTCCATTTTCCCTCATCTTATAACATGGCCGAAAACTGATGACTGTAGTTGTTGTATGGCTCCAGCCTCTTTCAAAAACTCTTGGTTGCTATTTTTTTGGGCTGTCCAAAGTTTTGTAAGCATTATTCTGTAAAACCACATCTCTTAGGCCTCAAAAAATTGTTAGGCCTGCCTGCCGATTGTCCAGGACTCACAGCCATATGTTAAAACTGGATGTATGTAGCAAGCAAGAATTCATTTTCTAACCTTCAATGACAAAGATATATTGCATAAGATTTTCTTCATTTTATAAAATGCAGTTTTTGCCTGTCCTATCCTGTTTCTTTTTTCAGTAAGCATCTTCCATCTGATGTTATCCATGTGCCCAGATACTTAAATTTCTGTGCTTGTCCCAAAATAAAACCTTTGACTTTTTTTTACACTTTTAGGAATAATGCTTTTCTTTGATACCACCATTACTTCTGTCTTCCCACTATTCAAACTGAGGCCCATTTTTCCACTTTTGAATAGTGTATAATATAGATCTTTAAAAAAAAACCACATCCATAATGTCAAATCTACGCTGAAATGTTACTTCACAAAATGTAGTACAGAATAGTAAACATTTAAAAACATTTTATGTTTTGCATCCTTCAGTCAGTCAGTCTGTGGTAACTTATACCTAGGAATGAAAGTATTCTTAGTTTTATAACAAGTAACTAAACCTGTAAATTGTCACTGACAACTTAGTTAATCCATGAAAGCTGCATTAGCTTTCCAAAAAAATAAAAAACTTTGTTCCATGTTGTCAGCATTAAGGCAGCTTCTAGTCTCACTGAAGGTATTTTCAGCTTTACTAAACAGACGTAGGTGTTGCACAAAGATAACGCTGGACAGTATGAACCAAAGTGGGAAATCTTGATATGATAATTTTCCATCAGTCCAGAAACGGGTGTAAGGTAACCACTATTCGTATTCGGCCCGACCACAACTATTCGGCCGAATACCGAATAGTTATTAGGTCCACTATTCGGCCCGAAGCGAATACGAAGCAAATATTCGGTACAGCCCTAATACATATATACACACATACATACATATATACCCATGCATACACACACCCATGCATACATACACACATGCATACATATACGCATACATAGATGCATACAGACAGACAGGCTGGCAGACAAATAAAAAGATAGATACACATATATTAACGTCCTTTTATCTTTACAACCATTCTTTAAAAAAAAAAACACTATAAACTATTTGCTAAAATATTCAGAAAACAAACAACCAACCAACAAACAAACTGAGCAATGATAACACATAACTCCGCAGACAAGTTTTTTATCTTGAGCCCAGTGCTCAGATATACAAGGTCATTGTCGCTTTTAGTAATCGCAGTTTACACAACCCATGGCCCACTGTGGAGAAGGCGGTGACACAACCAAACGAGGCTAGGGAACAAAAGTATAAAAGCACTTTAACCCTGAGCTGTCTGTCTCAGTTGCTAGCAGCCGATTTATCCAGGTAATGTTGTTCTAATCTTTCTTTAGTTTATGAATTCTTATCGGGTGTTGCTAACAGAGATGTATTTGTTTCATGAATATTACATTCTATATTTTAACTAACAGTAATAACCGGCGGGCATTATTTAATGTTATGTTTGAAGTTTATTTTCTGGTTCCAAAAAATAACGAAATACACTGCAGTAAAATGGTACAAGTGTATGGAGCGGAAACACGAAGAACAGCTATAACAGTTAATATAAACTTTCATTAAGTGGTGACCGCAGAAAAGAGGGAGTCAAATGGGACGATAGTGTCACTAATGTGAAGCTTTGGGGGAGCACTAAACAAATGTCAGTGAATCAAGATGTGAAGAAAAGACGATGGCGTTGGATAGGTCACACACTGAGAAACCGTGAGAACAGTGTAAATAGAACGTCAAACACACATCAATACGCTCGAATCTTCAAGGGCATAGCAATAAGGCTGTGGGCGGGGGGGGGGGGGGGGGGGCAAACAGGAGAGGAGAGTTGGAAAGTGAAGTGAAAATGATGGGTAGGGCATGGGGTTGGGAATGTATGCTCCGTTTGGGTATGAAAAGCAGAAAAATGAAGACGAAGAAAAAGAAGATTATGAAGAAGAAGAAGAAGAAAAAGAAGAAGAAGAAAAAGAAGGAGGAGGAGGCGGATGAACAAGAAGAAGAAGAAGGAGGAGGAGGCAGAAGAAGAAGAAGAAGAAGAAGGAAGAGGAGGAGGGGGTGAAGAAAAAGAAGGAGGAGGAAGAAAAAGAAGAAGAAGAAAAGGGAGGAGGAAGAAGAAAAAGAAGAAAAAGGAGGAGGAGGAGAAAGAAGAAGAAGAAGAAAAAGAAGAAGAAGGAGGAGGATGAGGAGGAGAAGGAGGAGGAAGAAGAAGAAGTTTGGGATCCATTTTCACAAGGTGAGACGTCTTGGTGATGTATGATCTTACACCATATTTTAGTCATGACTTAAGACGTGATGTGGTCTCCGATCCGTGTTTACAATCCGCATTAACGGAAATAAGAACAAGCAACTAGCCATATGTATGAAGATCTAGGCTGACAAAAATCATCAAAGGGGTGAAGCCAGACAAGAGGGTCGTCACACTGGGGTCCACAGAAGATAGTTAGTTAGTTAGTTAGTTAGTTAGTTAGTTGGGTTATCATCATTGCACTCCGGACATGTCCATAGGTGCTCAGATCCTCCCCTCAGTATGAATCCCAACGTCCGATGGCTAATAGTACCAGTTCTATGTTGATTAACAAGTCTTCTGACGTGTCCGGTGTGCGTCTCGTTTTTTGCTGTGCCGATCTTAATTCCCAAG